GCTATACTACCTGCCCTATTCACATGTTTGACAGTTGGGTGTTTGCAAACGGATGCTCTAGACAGCTACATGTGGCCAGATGGATGAGCTAGAATGCCTTGCATAACTTTACATTTATCTCCTTTGACTGTCATCTGATTTGCATGTCAATTAAAATAATATCTGTATTAAGATGAATAATGAGAGTTATCAAATGATTTGAGTGCAGTTTGCTAAATTTCCAGTAGATGCCCCCAGAGACCAGTCAACTCACAGGAAATCCTTCAAATAAAAAAATAAAATAAAAAAAACAAGAAGCAAGATTTTTTGTGTGGTTAATCTTCAAACTTTCTTCTTGCTATCTTTTGAAGTACATGGAAAATGAAAAGTTCCAAAAGGTGTCAGTTCTTCAACTGTCCTTATCCAAAATTGTATGTGAGTGTTGGTAGTATGGTTTTCCATTAGTATTAATGATAAAATAAGAATTAAAAATCTAAATGCATAAAATTAAGACTATTGCTCCCACATTTCCTTGTAATTCTATATGCTTTTAAAGCAGTCAGTTTCACCATTTCTTCTATGGTCTGTATTGAAAAAGATAGGGAAATACTTTATCTTTGTTTTAGAGGTTTTGAGGGGAAATAAAATAACCTTGTCACAAAATCTGTAAAATGTGCCCAAATAATTTATAATATGATTTTTATCAGTTCTTATCTATGGGGAAATGCCTATTTTTTCATTCTAATTATTAGAATATCTATATGCACTGATATATATGGGTAATAATAATGACTCACTTTAGTCCAGGGAAATTATATTAACTGAAGCTATTTAAGTATTAATTTAAGAGTCGATGTAATTATCCCATAGGTAATTCCAATAACATTTATTCCTACAACATGAATGTAAGGCTGTTATAACTGACACACAGATAACCCACTAGTGACTTATAAAAATTAACCTAATTAAACAAAAACACTAGCCGACTTCTGATTAAGTATTACACACCTTTTCAGTTTATCTTTGCCAGATTAAATAAAAGTGTTATGACCTTGTTTTAAGATACCTTTTTGCTAGCTGCTTTTGAAGTATTTTATTCAATATGAGCTCACCTTGACATTGTAGTTCCTGCTTGCCCTGCTAAAAATTACATTAAATGTTTGAATTCTTGCTCATTGATTTTTATGTTGAAAGTCTAGCAACAAATGCAAGAACTTATATGACCAGAGAAAATAAAGTAAGTTGTTGTCTTTAAGGCTTCACTTATTCGTCTCCTTCAAGTTTGTAGAGATGTGTGTACTTTCCCTTTTGTGTGTTTCCCTTTGTTGGAGTTTGTGCCTTCAGCATCACACGTCTTCCGTAGGACTCACATCTGTCTTGTTTGCTTTGGATGGATGCTGCCGCCGGTCTGCTGCCTGTTTAAGGGACAGTCTTCTCTTGGGGAGTCAAACGATGGTAGTGATTTCTTTTTCTAATTCAACAGCAACGTGGATTTGCAGGAATAAGGGCATTCAAATTAGAGAGGTACAGACATCATAATTGTCGAACGGTGCCAAATTCCTAAACAATCAGTATGAATAGACAGAAAATGGTGTGGTGAAGAAGAATAATCAGCAGCACTTAATATAGCAAGAGGGATTGTGATGTGGCAAGGTTTCCGAATCTGCAGCCAGAGAAACCCGGGGCAAGTTACAACCTCAGAGAAGAGTTTCTTTATCTGTGAAAATGGAAGTGGCCCTTTGTAGTGTTATTGTGTGCAGTAGAGATCGTGTCGACACAGTGTCTGCCACGCTGTAGGTGCCCTATCAAAAGTACTGATTCAAAATCATTTAAGGCAGAAGTTTGAAATGAGATCTCCAGAGCTGCTTAGAAATAAGCTCTCTCCTAGTTTGTGGAATTTTTTCCTTATCGCAAAACGTCTAAGGGGGATTTTGATGTACATTCAGAACTGAGTGGTGCCTCTCAATGTAGAATGGTAACAGAACCCCTATGATGTGCGTGGCCACATCATGCCATTCTCAATTCATTTCTTCTCCAACTGTATGGTCCTGATTAAGCCAGTGCAGCCTCGTTGATTTTTCTTGTTGTTCTCTCCTTAGGGTGCACATGCACCCATTTCTAGCTTGCCCAGGAGACTCCGCACATCTACAGTGTCTGTGAATGCCATGTTTTCTTCCAGAAGAGCTCTCCTCATGTTGTGAGAACTCCGTAAATCTCTCCCTAAATTTCGCCACGATTCCCACTCACTTTCACCCAGTGTAATCAATGACTTCGGGTCAAGGAGATATTTCAGCTGATTTAATATACTAGTGCATGAAAAAAACAACTAGATGGCCTAAATCTATTAGCAACAACAACAAAAATAATGAATTTGAATTCTGTTTATATTTCTACTTCTGTTCAAAAACATATTCATCTGGATGTGGAGTTTGGTTATGCTCCTCTGTGATGAAGTAAAATCTGAGAAAAATAAAATTGAAAAAAAAAGGCAGAATTTGGCACACATTTTGTTTGCAGGCGTTGGTGCATTTTAATAATGAAGATAATTCTGGTTAAAGGAAACTCATTGTGGTAGCAATTGTACAATATTGCTTGATGTAAATGAATTATGGAATATGATACCTGTATTATCGCCCATTAAAAAGGTTTGGGGGAAAAAAATAAAAGAATCATATAAACTATGAAGTTTAAAGAAGAACCTATTTAATACATGGCTGTAATTGCTCCTTTTTGCTCTCCAGGTTCAAACAATGATGTGCATGTGTGTATGTGTCTGCAAAATGGAGACAATATCAATATAGTTATATACATATTAATACATATTTTTCTATTTGGAACATCTTCTCCAAAGACTATTCATTTTAAAATTTTACTATATATATCTTTTAAATTACTGTTATATAGCATAGATATTTGGGAAAAGATGTCTTAGAAATAATTCAGTCCTATTCCTTTTGAATCAGTCAGCATTCTTTAGTCAGAGGCAAGGGAAACTATTTCAAACTAAATTAAGTAGGACAAGATTTGGCGAGAAGGAGCTTAGGAAACAAGCTGAATATAGAGAAGAGAACAGGCCAGAATAAAAGGACAAGACATAAACCTTTTGAGGCATCTCGGCAACAAGAAGGGAGGCCTAGAGGCACTCTGAGTAAGCAAGCTTTGAATTCATAATCACTGGTTAGGAATTCAACCCCACCAGCCCCTCAATGGGAGAAAAATGAGGCTGTTTGCCCCTGTAAAGGTTTACAAAGTCTCGGGAATCCTATATAGCAGTGGTCCTCAACCTGTGGGTCATGACCCCTTTGGGGGTCAAATGACCCTTTCACAGGGGTCACCCGATTCATAACAGTAGCAAAATTACAGTTATGAAGTAGCAACGAAAATAATTTTATGGTTGGGGGGTCACCACAACATGAGGAACTGTCTGAAAGGGTGGCCACATGAAGAGAGTTGAGAACCACTGCTCTAGGGTCTCTGTGAGATGGAATTGACTGGATGGCAGTGGGTTAGGCAGCAGGAACTACATGAAGAGTTTTATCAGATACCTCCAATGTATTGATTGCGCTCCAAAATTCATTTATACCCTTGTGTTCTGTGATTCAACATCTTAGGAGAGAAGCCAGTTGGCCTAATTAGAGTCAGTAACCTACACACCTGAAGTAGTTAGTTTATTGTGCCAACCTGGCCGATAAACACATGTGGGATTAATTGAAGGACGGAGCACCTTTGCCTAGGTAGCAGGAAAGCATTATTAAGCTGCTAACTGAAAGGTCAGCGGTTCAAACCCACACCTGCTTCACTGGGAAAAGATGGGTCTTCTGTTCCCATAGAGAAATAAAGTCTCAGAAACTCTAAGGAGCCATTCTATTCTGTGCTACAAGTTCAGCATGCATCAGCAACTGTTCAACAGCAGCAGGGTTGGTTTCGGTTGGGGTGTGAACTTACAGTGTTGCATAGGTTAAGTAATTGGTGGGTTTGAGCCCACCGGCCCTTACCCTACAGAAGGATATTCCAGTGTGTTTCTGTAAAGATTTACAGTCCTCCGGGGCAGTTCTAATCTGCCCTGCAGGGTTGCTGTGTGTCAGAATCTGATGTGATGGCACTGTACTTTATAATAATTATCCCATAACTGTACTTGCTGTAGAACGATTTTCACAATTATTTATTTGTTCAGTTGGCTGTGTTTCCTCACTAGGATGTGAATGTCACAAGGGCTTAAACTCTGTTTGGTCCAGAAGAGGGTAGACAACTCATGAAGTGTTGAATTAATGAGTGGGATGTACATTTAACATTCTAACTCCTTGTATGTGGTTTATTATTGAACTTAGTTGTGACATAAACGATTGACTTAATTTTAATTGGTAAAAAATGTGCTGACCCACTCAAAACGCAGCCGTTGAGTGAATGCCAGATCGTGTAGGGCAGGGTCAAACGCCTGTGAGTTTCGGAGACTGGCACTCTTTACAGGAGTAGAAAAGCCTGCTCATTCTCCCGAGGAGTGGCTGGTAAAGCTTTGGGGCTGCTGACTTTATTCTAACCACTGTCGGTACATGTTTTTAGCATGAATGAACGAGTGGGTGAATGGACAGGCTTCCACAGCACATGACATGTTTAGTGACTACCTCGTTTGCGGCGAGATAGAATGTTCAATTTTTCATCGGCTCATTAGCTTTTGTTTGTGTATGAGGGCGGGCTAGTAGGTCGAGTAATTTTTATATGTATTGCCAGTCAATGAACTAATTTGTCCTAATCAGCCGGAGCTCAGCTCCGGAACTGATATATTTATAACATAATTTCATTAAAATGACTGTATTTAGATAGCTCCTGGCATCTTTCATGAAGCCGAAGTTGTTCAATTAGAAGTGTTAGAGGCACGGGTTTTTTTTAAGCTTTCAGTTCTTTTATCAAGATGAAAACAAGAGAAGGGGATGTGGTTCAACCTATCATCATGGTAGGATAAACACACCGTGTGGACTTGAAGGATTCAAATACAGCTTGGTGTGTTCTGCTTCTTGTTCCAGTCACAGGAACTCGTACAAGAAGAACATCTGTGTGGACATGCTACGGGAGGGCTATCATAAGTCCTTCACGGAGCTCTTCTACCTGATGGAGCAGTGGGACACCCTGCGGGAGGCTGCGAAGGCCAGGTCCACCTTGTGGTTGCAGAGGCCCCTGGAAGAGCAGCCTGATAAACTGGACCACTTGTACCACTACCTGACCCGGGCTGAGATTGCTGAAAGGAAAGGTAAGCAGGCAGAGGGAGGCTGGGCAGCCGCGGGAGCCGGAGCCGCCAGCTGCGGAGGGAAGGCTCCAGATTGTGGCTCGTAGGATTCCCCAACACGAGAGCCACTTAGCTCCGCTGAGCCTCGTCAGCGAAGCATATTTTTAGAATAAATGATAGGGGACGCGGAACCAACACAAAGTCCAGAACTTTCGAGACATACAAGTCTATTCGTTTCTTACTCAGAAACCTGGCCAGTTTTCCTTCCTGTACGGTGTGAAGATTGCTAAACGGCTGTTTTCAAGCAGCACTCTAACTTAAAAAAATCACACCCATTTCTCAGTATTTTTATCAGGGATTTTGAAGGTTTTAGTAAAAACTCCTAAAGAATTGAATCAGGGAGTTTTGCGCTAGTAGATGTATACTAACAGTGTCTCTAGAAACACAGTGGGTTGGGGGGTGGCGGGGATCTGAGACAAATAACCTGTTTCCCCGAAAATAAGACAGTGTCATATTAATTTTTGATCCCAACGATGCACTAGGACTTATTTTCAGGGGACGTCTTATTTTTCCATGAAGAATAGGGCACATATTTATTATTTATTGTTTTATTAAAAGAGACCTCACACATCCTGTCTGCTCCAGCTGTGCTGCGGCCAACAGTGAGCTTCAGGGCGGCGCCCGCCACTACGGTCCAGGGTCCAGAGTTGCTGTAGCTTCTGGGGGCCTTATTTTGGGGGAGGTCTTACTTTCGGGGCAACAGGGTAGCATGTCCTTGCATATTCTGATTGCTTCTCGTTGGAAAGGCCAGCCTTTCAGTTAGTCAAAGGTACGGCGCTAACACCTTCAGATGAGAGATTCTTCAGATGAGAGCTAGGCTCGTTTAAATTACTTTAAGGAAACGTCTTTTGGCTCTTCTATGGCAAAGACGTGTTTCAAGTAAGCTGGTCCTTTCTTCTCAAACTATTTTCCATTTACTAAAAAAGTTCTTTGTCTATGTAACTTTTGTGCATTATCTCTGGACCTTCTGTCATGTTATGATCAGGACCTTGAGCCCCAAGTGGCTGGGAGAGAGATAGCAATAAGGACACTGGATAACCAACGCAATAGATAATTCAAGTTTTATCTACATGTGACCTTAAATTATCATCAAGAATCAATCAGGCAGCATATTTTTCTTCCAAAAATGTTTATGTAGAATATCCAAAGTATGTTTAGTACTCGTGAAATTCCATAAAATGTTCATGTGTTTATGCAAAACAAAGCAAACGTAACTGTCTGGATAAATGTTTTGGGCACATCAAGTGATTTAACATTAAAGTTAAACAGCTTGGTTTATTGCAAGACTTAGTATAAGCCTTAAGGTACTGATATGTTTGGTAGTTCATCCAAGGAAGGAAATTAGTAAGAACATTTCTCAAATTTATTTGATCACATAATCTCCATTTTGGAGAGTATAATGAGATGTTTTTGCCTAAGTAATCAATAACAATAGAATTGGTCTTGAACTCCTGGCTATACCTGCTGGCAGTGCACGGAAGTGGTGTACAAGCAAGAAGAAGAGAAGTTAAAAATTACAGGCCATACATATGCAGTGTCCAAGGATACAACACTTGACTAAGTTCATTTCTACCTAATACACTGAAAATTGCTCCATTTCATGAAGAAAAAAATCTGTTTTATGACTAGTAGTTTCTGAATATGAAATATTAATAGCTTACATAATGCATTCTAAAAACATTGTTTATGAAATGTTATTCTATCAAGTTTTAATTACAGGGACATAGGAAATGTTATTTCAGGACCACAAGTATTCCTCTTTAAAGCCCTTTATAGAGCTTTAGTTTGTTTGTTTAATCAAGAATATGAAGTGGTTTACTTATGGGCTTTTAAAAACAAGAACTCTCTCATCAGTCACCGTGACAAAGAATATCAAATATTATAAAAATGGACTTGGCTGCCCTTGTTCCTCTGAGGTAGAAGGTTCAGGATGGAGAGATAAGCATCGTGGGTCGGTTCTGAGGTGACATGTCCACTTTAAGTACAGAACCGTTTGCTCTTCATCCAAGCTGTTGCCCATCCTGAGTACCAGGAAAAAGCAGAACTGGCCAGAAGAACCTTCAGCACGTTAAAAAGTAGAGACTCCTCGTAAATATTTAGTTTTCAATCCACACCAAACTATGGTCCCACATAAAGGAACAGCACAGGTCGTAAGACAATCGAGGCATCTTATGCACAGTTCTTATCAGCTACATTTTGTTGTGATTAGCATGAGCCTTTTGAGTGTTCACGCTATACGAGTACTATTGGGCAATGTATCCCTTATATACTCGAGTATAAGTCGACCCGGATATCAGCCAGGCACCTAATTTTACCACAAAAACTGCATTACAAAGGTGCTGAAAAGCTCGGCTTATACACGAGTATATACGGTAAATCTTTTTCTTTCTTGTAGTCTCTTCGTGAACATAGGATTGATGTTCCTGGAGAATGAACCACAATTGATATCCATGAATTCGAACAGAGAATGACTGCTATTAAAATATCTTACAGATGCCATTGATATCACTGAATGGCTCATGCACCTGTGAAACACCGAATTAACACACATGTGATAGTTGTTTCACAGCAATCACCAAAAACTTTCCCTGGACCTCGAGGTCACCACCGATTCACAGATCTGCTGTCGGCATGGACGCAGACACACAAAGATTGTGAACTTGTTCACACTCACGTTGAGAGGGAGGTTTACAGAAGCTGTAATCTATTACATGCAGCGTTTGCTTTCAAATTCCCTATCGCAGTGGGGCTCATAAGACTGACTGACTGCCACTTTATTCACACATTTTTTTTTTTGTCCATGTAGGCCAGTTTGAGAAACAAAACTTACAGAAGACTTAAGGAGTAAATTACTATCTGAGTGAGAAGGATGTCTAACATTGATACATTTCAAGCAGGGACAAAAATGTACAAAATGGACACATAGAAATTCACTGTTTCCATCTGTCAGCACCTTGTTTGTGCGTTTGTGTTTTCAGTCTTTGAGTAGAATTCTTGATATATTCATTTCCTCTTTGATTCCTTTATATACATCTTCTTTTTGTCATGATTCAGAAGCACTGCTTGTTCTACAATTTGTACATACGATTCAAACCTCAGATGGGAACAGTACGTGGTGATAATGTATATGCATTTCTTCCCCTGAAAGCTGAGCACATTGCTCATTATCCTCTCCCTTATCTTCCCTCAAGTTTAGTGTTTTAATATACCCAACCTTCCTAAGTTTGGGGAAAAGATTTTCATGGCTATCTGATTAGCCTTTCACTAATGCAGTTATTTTAATAACTAAAATGCATGAATTTAATTTTTAGAATTAGATTTTAACTTTAAAAACAGGTAACCCTACTTTTGAGGGAAAATAGAAAATACAAGTTTTCACTTGACTGGTTTGCCATTCAAAGGGATGCTTTGTGAGGCATTTTTTCTAAGGCAGCTTATGTTTTTCTCTCTTTGAAGAGTACTTTGAAGATGTATATAATAACTTGTATGCTCTGGCCTGTTACTTCAACACTCCTGAAGACCAGTGGGTAAGGAATCACTTTTATGAACGATGTTTTAAGATTGCTCAACTGATCAAAATTGACGGAGGGAAGAAAGAAGCCGAATCGCACTCGAACATGGGCCTTCTCTACGAAGAAGATGGTAAGTGGATGTTTGCTGGGTAATGTTGAGGATGCAGGCGTCAGGCAAACAGGAAGCACAGGAGGGTGGTGAAAAAGACCGGAGGGCTCAAGATACGAATGTCAGTGGCTAAGATCAAACAGCAAAGCAGTGTGACTTGCAGAAACGGCTTCAGAATTCCTTGCAGTCATACCTCCCACCCACGTTCCCAGAATCATCAAGGAGATAAAGCATTCTCCCATCTGCTACACACCTACACACCCCTCAGGCCATGCACTGTGCTGGTATAATTTTTTCATGGTCCCTTCATGACAACTTCCTTTATTCATTTTCACTTGATTTCTCCTGTATGGAAAGGTTTGCATAAAGAAAGACTATGCTTAGTGACTTTCCTAGGACCCTGGGTTGTCTACAAACGCCCACTGCCTTCAGGTCTCTTCCCCTCACAGTGACCCGACAGGACAGAGTACCACTGCCGCATAGAGTTTCCAAGACGGGAAACCTTAAAAGAAGTATCGGGCCTCCTCTTTCTCCCATGGAACAGCTGGTGGGTTGGAACTGCCAACCTCTTTGGTTAGCAGCCAAGTGCTTTGGCTATTGCACCATCAGGACTAAAACGCACATTAGCTATATAATTCAGACTCCCCCTATCCCCTTCCCCCATTATGATTGTATAATGACTTCTTGGAGGGGGGGTGTGCTCCTTTAAATATAACTTTATATCTAACAGTGTTGTCTTGAAACAATTCAAAAACAGCAATAAAAAAAGAATGATCAGAAACAGGTTCTTTTTTAATGGTGGTTTCAAGAAGATGGCAAACAGGAATTCAATAATTGCAATCCTTTGTGGAGGAGAAGTAGAGAGGGGAAGGAGCCCGGTGGCGGCGTAGTAAGAGTCGGCCATGGTTCTCCAGGACAGCAGGTTTATGCACCAGCAGCTCCACCGGACAAAGGTGGTTTTCTACTCCAGTAAAGAGTTACCGTACGAAAATTCACAGGGACAGTTGACCTCATCCTACACAGTCGCTATGAGTCAGCATCGATTTCGTGGCAGTGAGTGAAGAGGTAGGGAATATGGCAAGGGAATATATGACAAGATGAAATATTTTATCATGAATACTACTATTCTTTCCCTCAGAGAGCCTCGTTTTCCACAAGAGGTTTGTCTTTGGCAAAAGTATTAAGTGAAGAAGAGAAGTTTATTATGTCCTGCCCAGAATTGCTGCAGACCCTTGGCAAAGGGTGGGAAGGAGGACTTTGTGTTGCAGGAATTACAAATAATGAGATTGTATCCTAACATGTGATGGGGATAAAAGGGTGATTGATACAGAGAATGCCAGAAACATTTGGAGAGGTAACAAGTCCCATGGCCTGGATTCAAGAAAGCATCATGGTAGGGATGGGCAGAAGGGTTGACAGACAGAAGGAATTTGGGCAGGTAAATAAGTAGGAATGTGTTTTGTGTGAGTCAATGACACTAACTTGTATTGGGAAGGACTGAAGGGAAGCACATCTGTTTGAAATGTATTTCCGAGCAGTGATTAGAAATAACCTCACGGTTTGGACTTAAGTCTCTACGCATGCAGAAAGATGGATATGGACAGAGGTACAGGCATAGTTAGTTATAAGCATAGAAGTCTCCACTCATGCTAATAACCAAGCACTCAGCTGCTGACGGAAAGGTTAGGGATTCAAACCCCAAACAAAGGTCTGGTGATCTGCTGCTGAAAGGTCAAGGCCAAGGAACCTCTACGGAGCGATCCTCCTCTGCACACTTGCTGCCTCCAGGAGTTGGCAACAGCCTCAGGGCCACCGGTTTTATAAATCCTGTTGTTGATGTAGGTACATAGCTGATACAATGTGCCCTATGGTGGGAAAGAGAATTACGGGAGGGAGAATGATTAGAGAACCGTGCATGAGGAGCCAGGCTGCTAACTGAATGACCAATGGTTCAAACTCCCCGGCTTCTTTGTGGAAAAGGATGAGGCTCTCTGCTCCCATAAATTCCTACAGCAGTTCTGCTCTGTCTTATCGGGTCACTATGAGTAACAATTGACTCAGGGCAGCTGGTTTTAGCTGGACACTAATTTAGCACCAAAGTAACAATTAGAGGGTCTTTAAAAAATACATTTAAACATGTCCATTGCAGTGCTAGTACAATATTTCAAAATAAGGGCTTCATTAAATATATTAAGCCAAAGCCCTACCATGGAGTTCTGTGCAGTTGGGAAGCTACAGGTTGGAGCAAAATGTATTCATCCATTCAATAGAAATTTATTTCAACCTAATGCCAGGAAATGAACTAGACAACACAACACAAATCTCTGCCCTCATGGAGCTTATATTCTACTGTAAAAAGCAGGCTTTGTCAGTAACAACCTATACAAGATAGTATTAAATCATGGCGAATGTGATAGCAAAGAAGGGTTGCTTTGGCTTCAGCATGCGCTGGTTATGAAAACTCCTGAGAGTTATATACTGAAGGTAAAATTCTGCCCTTCTATGTTCTCTATCATAGAAATAGCCCCCTGACAGACAAAACTAAGAGACACCTTTTTGGTTTTGTTTGTTTGTTGGTTTTTATAATGGAGTTTGTCAAATTCAATCAATTATACTAGCAGATCAAAGAACTCTAAATGACTGGCCCCCAAAAGAAACCACATAAGAAATAGCATACGAACATAATGGCCAAAGAAGTCAGGGCTCCATTAATGAAAATTGAAGGGCAGTACCAGCGAGATGCAGTAACTATCCTAGGTGACTCTCATATTTTCTGTAAAGTTTACTTCTGGTTATGATTACCCTGAGTGCACTTCCAGCAGCGTTCTTATATATTGGCGCCTTTCGTAGTTTCATTCCGATAGCCCTTCTTTCACTCAACAACCCCTGGTGTGCATCCTCATCCCAGCAGGCATCATGGATGTTCACAGTATTTTATTTTGGGAAATGTGACCCGAATGTTTTTAGTACTGTGACCTAATGGGGTAAAGTAGCAGGGCATCAAAAAAGAAGACCTCCAACAAGATGTAGACTCCATGGCTACACTGATGGGCTCAAACCTAAGAGCAGTTGGAAGGCTGGCGCAGGACTGGGCGGTGTTTCGTTCCATGGTACATAGGGTCGAAACTTACTCGACGGCACCTAACAACAATGGTCAAGGGGCGGATGCGGTGAGGTAACATTATGCATGGCTTTTTGGCTTGCTCATGTGTAGAGTCCCACCCTCCATCATGGCAAAATGCCGCCAGGCACCTCAACAAATAGAATGCGCTATCTATGGAGAAGGTTGCATGACTTTTATTTTTCAAAATTACTTTCAATTTAGAATATTTTGTTTTGGAGCTCCCCCTTTTGTTGTCCTGGCTAAAGTATGATCTTGTGTCCCCAAAGCACTTTGTAAGCACCAAGAGCCATGTCTCGTGGATGGAACACCTAATGGATGAAACGACTAGTCCGTGTTGGTGAAATTTCTAGAGATTGACTTACAGTGTTTGATGAACTTAATGAGGCTGAAAATGATGCTTTTGTAACCTAGGGTAGACTTTTCATGAGGAGAGCAAACATGAGGAATATTAAAAATATTTTGCATTTCACATGGCTGTAGGGCTCCCTACTGGGGTGACCACGGCAGAGTTAATGCACATTTGATCTAATTGGTCTGGGGGTACAAAAGGAGGCACCAACATCTGCGAGGCAGCTGTGCTCAGAGGCAGGTGGTGACATCCTTGTTCTACGGGTGCCTGCTCAGGTTGAAACAAGATGCCATCTGGCAACTGGCTAACTGGGGCAGATGTCAAAGCCCAGCCAAGCGGGCTGAGGTCCAGGGCAGGCCTCCAGCATGCTCAGGAAACTAGAGCAAATAAGTAACACGAGCAGAAGCTGTAGTTGCAGGGATGGGACACATGGCTGCAGTTAGGGGCAGTGTTCAGCCCAGTGGGCACATATGTGACCAGAGCTTTACCCAGGGCCCCAGTCTGAGTTAGAAGACAGGTTCAAGTCCTGGCTGACGTAAGGATGGGACCCTACTGTGCAGTGTGGTCTGATGTCCATTGCCTCCAGGACTTGTACTCTCGTTCTTCAGGTTCAAATCTGTAGTTGAGGTAGCAAGCATGGAGTAGTCATGTACTGATAGACATATGTAGAAAATCAGTGGCTGTATCTTCTTTCATACTCATGAAGTATTTGTGGGTCGAAACTGAAAGGAGACTAATCTCTTTTCTGGAAGGCTAGCCTGAGGGATTCTTTTTAGACTAGTTAACCTTTATGTTCAGGCCACCTTTTTTTACTATGCCCTCCTAAGTTATCATCCTCCTCTCTGTCAGCAATCCATTCCATTTCAACCCATAAGAATTATGAATCTCATTACAGCATCTAGTTTCAAACTGCTGACGAAGTCCAGGAAGATAACATTAGGACTAGATGCTGGGTGACAACTCTACAGTAGTGATCAAGTTCACAGAAATCAGACAGGGTAACATCATTGTAAGAACAATTTCAGAAGTTGAGGAACATCTTCCAGTTTACTTGTGGCTTCAGTATAGAGTCTGAGTAAACGCTAATCAAGATCTACAACATTGACCCTAAGTTTCTTCATTGACTAGGGAGCATTTTAAGGGAGAGAAAGCTATCCTTCTTAGGTTGACTTGTTCAGCATCAGATCGTACAATTACTATTTATTGAGAGTCAGCTTCTTGAACAGTCACTAGGTCATGCAGCCAGGGGGTGTTTTAGGCAGTCAGGAGACACCATGAATAGAACAGAGCTGTAAAGAAGCTAGAAAGGCTAATCTCTCCCCCAAGTATTCAATATTGAAAGGCAGATAGAGTGATACATTTTTGGAGGAGGTCATCCCTATAAGGAAATATCACTTGGTCTCATGGATATAAGTTTATATTTGGGGATCGGTCCACTCACCCCTTTCTTATGAATGAGTGACACCATCCCCTAACATCTTCTCCGACCATTCTCTCGTGATCATGGTGAAGGCAGTCCCCGGATCTTTTTTTTTTTCTTCCTAATGT